TATTGAGGTACAGTGAACCAACACAGTTGGTGCTACAAGAAACATGATACAAATTGATAACATTTTGATGGTTTTAAACAACTTTCAGGTTTTCATAAAAATTAACATATTTTAAGGGGATATAGTCACACATATACATCAGGTTTGCCTTTTTTTCCTTTTTGATCGAAAGTGCTTCGTTATATGCCTCTTTAAGGTCTCTCATCGCTACTTCTTTTACTAATTTCTTGCGTTACTTCAACAAGTAAATAAACGATGGTTGATGTGTGTTGCGGGACTTTCTTACTCGTAAAGTATTCACATCATCTGCAGTCATTTGCAACCACATTACTTGGGTGATTTTACATGAAGGATCTTTATATATAACATTTTGCGCTGCCTGAAAATCCTGAAAAAAGGATTGATGCATGAAGATCACTTTAAATGGATTGGATACCTTCGACTTAGTGACAACATCAGCCCACTGTAAGGGAACAAAGATTTTTTTTGTCGTTCTATGAGATCAAAGTCTCTATCACATGGCAAAAAGCTATGCCCGCTCGTAAGAAATTTTTGTTCGACTTGCGTAAAGAACTTTTCTAAAACTAGAAGTAGCAGCATTGTCAGTATTTTCCAGTTATTGTTCTGGCCCACGCACCTGTACGACCATACAACTAGTTTTCTTTCTTCACCTGGATTGAGACGACTATACTTGTTAGTAATATAGAATAGTAGTGCTGAAGCAATCTCTGTAGATCCCCGGTGTGTAACCATTGTTCCATGCCATAGTAACATTGTTGTGTTTTCCTCGCCCATATTATGAACAGCATAGTTATATGTTGAGAATTGCCTTTGGTAGAATACAGATGCATGGGTTAAATTAGGACAAAAAAGCACTTGCTGCAGATCTGTGCTCAACATAATTGGGATTGAGTTTAGAGGTCTCGGTATCATCTTTCAATGTTTTATAACCCGCTTCAGATTTTCTATGGTGGATCTCACTCTCGATTTCTATTTTTTTTCTTTTCATTAGCGTCATCAGTTGAACAAAGTTTCATAAACCGCTTGTCACAATACGAACATGCGTCAGATCTTGGTAGACCAAATCGCAGATTGAACTTGTTCTTGTAAATGTTGTGATAAACCCTCGAGGAAATATTATTTGCATCAAAAAGTCGGAACATTTTTGAGATATTTAGATCAGCTGGAAGGCATTGTTTGGCTGAAGTATTTCTGCTGTAATGATTTTCCTACAGGCGAAACGATCGGATGTGATCGGAAATGAGACCTACTTCCGTGTTTTTCAACTTTTTAGGGCGATTGAGATGCTTTCCACGTTAAAGGTTATTCATGTTCGCTTTAAATTTACCACACTGTAATCTTCTAGGCGTGATTGAGAATATATAACAAACTGTTCCTCTACATACTTGAGTGCCATCAATACTGTACTTGACAGTACATTGTCTTCTAGATATATTTTCCTTAACTCTCCTACGTTTTGGTTCTTGGAGGGATATGGTTTGCGACAGATATTGCGACTGACCATCATAATCAACGTTCCTAAATTTCTGGAACAGACTCATATGCCTTCCAACGAACAAATCGGCGTTATATCCTCTGGGGGTTTGAGAACACTTACAGACACGTTTCTAAAAAAAATGCACACATTACACGATATCCTATCCTGTCAGGATTGTCACAAGCCCAAGCCATGAGTGAAAATGAGAAGAATATGTCGGTGGCCACCCTGCATATTGTGTATTAAACACTATGAAAGATTGGATAATAATGTGCATCATCTGTGGACACTTTTAACTGTTAATAAATCTTACCTGTTCTGGCTGGTTTAACGCAGCCTTAGGTACGTTTCTCGATGAAATGTAAGCTTCTCCTTCATCCCTCTGATGTTTTCTTACAATCTGCTTCCAGGTGTCAATTTTTAGCTTTCATTTTTTACTTCTGTTTATATGACTGATAATAGACTCTGATAAACTAACGTTCATCTTGCAGAAACCACGTGGGCTGTGTTAGTTTCGAAAACAAACTTGCTGAGACCTGTCGGCGCGTGCACATACAACGTTGTTACGTGGATATCAAGATTCGCTGAATCATTTAGACGTCTGGACACCGACTAAATGTGATTCTCAGCTTGAAAAAGGGGGACGTTATGCGAATGGATACATAGATCCTTATTTTATAGAAATCCCACTTTTGACCAAACTGTCGGTTAGAACGTTGTTCCGGCATACCCTTCAATTGTTATTCGTCATTGTCGATCAGAGCGGTCCGTAGGACCTTTGCTCTTGGTTAAAGTAATGTAGGTCGGTAGGTCTGTCAGGTCTGGTTACCCAGATGCCAGATAAAGTCAGGGAGAAAAAAGGACAGAAGGAAGATAGGAAAGAAGGGGAAGAACAAAGAGGGGGAAGTGAATCAGTTTGCATTGTTAACTAGTACTCGACAATTTTAAATTGATCCAAAAATGAATTTGGAAATTTGTATGTGTGGAAAGATTGTTTTGTTTGATTGGGCCTAGAATTGCACAATTTAATTTTGTTCACAGTGCGATCCGAGGTCTTGTGTGCTTGTGAACTTGCTCGACTGTATAGTCTACTGACTCACGCAATAGAGGGTTGCTGTGCACTTCCGCTTGACTGTAACGTAATTGCGCCTGTTGTTAAGGAACTGTGAAGGACCTCGTTGGAGACATACCATGGGGCGAAGTTGACAGTACGTAAGGTTCTGTTCTGCAGATGTGCTACACAACTCTTCAATTGAAGACTCTTCCGAGGAAGAATCACCAATGGTGGCGCCGTGATCACTGACGCCGTTGACCCTAAAATATCTCCTGACGGATCTTGCCATGTCTTTCCATGGCGGCCGCGAGAACGTCGACCTTTTATACTGTCCTGAAGACTATGCCCCCAACACCGTGGATGCTCCGGAGTTGTTCTCGTTTTTCGCTTCTGAGCGACTTCGCCACTTTTGTTCCATTGCCATTACGGAGTTCATAAAGAGCATTTCTTACTTCATGAACATTATTTGTCGCTCTGCGACTTGTGGGGCATTGATACAATATTCTTGTATCGAAATAAGATAGCTCAAAGTACCATCTATTAGTCGTAGTCATAGACATAAGCATAAGGGTTGAAATACGTAACTCTTATGAAGGCGCGTTGTCATAAACATAGTCATAAGCAGAAGAATAGTGAGATGGCCTTGAAGTTCATAACTTTCAAGTCTCTTTTTCATACTTATGACTGAAACGACATTTTACAAAGTTTATGTGTCAAAACTGTCAACGTGGCTCTCTCTAAGTGTCAATGTTTTGAGGGTTTTCGATGACTTGTGGTTTGTTGTCGTTATCTCAATCCGTTTTGGTTTTTGATGTTCACCGTGACGCCGTGTTCGCCATTTGCTAATTCGATATTTGTTTTTCTTTGTTTCTACCGTTGTTATATTTGACCAACACTGAGGGACCGGAGGCTGTATTCTGGCAAAATCATAAATGGTCATCTCATTATTAAGACAGTTCTAGGTGTTTGAAGACACTCCGAACCTGGGACTGTAATTATCTTATTTATGCCTATGCTTATGACTATGGTTATTAAGGCCCGTATCGTCAGTGGTCCCTACAATTGTAGGGCTCGTTTATGGCCTTCTTGATTTCGATAATATTACGTCTTCAACGTTAACGCACATGTATGTCCTCCTTTTGATTTCCGACATCTGACAGTTCTGGCTTGAGGTTGTTTTGACGTTCAAGTCACATGACAGTAGAACCATAATTTATAATTTTTTTGCAAATAATTATCGATCACTCAAAAATACCTCGCTACATTGAACAAATTCCACAACCTGTGGTATCTTCAAGAAATTGTTGAGTTAGGAAAATGAATGCACATGGATATATTATACTATAATATATTTGTGTATATGAAAGTCCAGAAGCTTACAACCAAGCTTGATGGAGCTTGGTAAGTTACAAAACAAATCATTGCATATCCATATACAATACAATTGTAGGGACGACTGACGATACGGGCCTAAAAGGTTGTGTAAACCCAACATAAATTTTTGTAATATTTTCAAAATAGATTGAAATAAAATTGAAGTAACAAAGAAATCAAATCAATTCTACTGGATGTTCTATTTTCTTTGTACCTGACTTCAAATGGTTTATATAGCTTTGAAAAAATAGGATGCCTTAGTTATGGAATTGCCCCCGTATGACCGCAGCACGATGTTAGCGTTCAAATTTCGTTAATCAAAGCAGCCGTATCGGTTAGCCTGAAAATAGGCATCATAACTTCACCAATTACTATAACGATTTCCCCGTTTTTATCTTTATCAGCAACAATAACTTAACTTTATCATGGAATTATAACGTCATTATATTCCAGAACACAAAGCGAAATGCAGCGCGATGATCTGATACGTACCACGCAAATTTCCATATCGAAATGCAAAAAGAAACTATTTTCGTGTTTCTAAATCAAGCATCTGATTGTAAACGTGGCCGCAAGTCCAATGTTTGTTTTTGTTCAGAGCTCTATAAACTAATTCTGGTAAAGTGAAAATGTTTGATTATAATAAAATCGCAGTTAATAAAAGCTTTAATCGGGTGATTATATGTTTAGTTTGATTAAGACTTAGAATGAATGTAGTCTCTCAAACCTTTGAAAAATTTTTGCTGATCATTCTCACCAGAATAATTCAAATAAGGAAATACCGGATGTAGTAGATGAGATTTAACGTACTTCAAAAATATAAATAAAATAAGGAAAATTCAAACATACTCTACGAAAGATGTGTGAAAGAAAATGTTGAACTATAAAAAGAGGGTGGTAGAAACGTCCATCTCATCCAACAATGATTTTAACCAATAAACATGATTCAAAAATTACTCAAAATAGAACATACCTTGCTCCACGAAATAACTCTATGACGTCACTCCTGTTATAAGATATTCGAGGTTATAGACAATAGTTTTGAGCAGAATTTAGAGAATAAAAAATTTAGTCATGTTGTATTCTTTGTTTCAGTGTATCTATGGCTGCTACGTCCACTCTGCTATACTACCAACGTTCCATCGGAGATGTTATTGGCTGCTACAGGTAGTATGTTCGTCTTTTTCTTCTACAATTCCTTACTTTCAACCTTCTTAAACACTCTTAACATCTTCTCTATATTCATCATGTATAAGAACATACTAGCTAAAATACCTCACATTGTTGTAAGTACGTATACTCACCAATACAGTGAACATCACAATGTTCACCGTACTTCACCAATGCTCACGCTATCTTTTACTCTGAGTAACGGGAGCTTTCTGTATGAAAAACAAAAGTCGACCTTAAAATAGCCTTTAAGGTGAGGCACCAGGAAAAACTCAACCTTACCTAGATAGATTGATTGAGCTTTTTAAGAAACGTTACCTGGAAAAATACAGAGCCGTTCCATGACTTTTGTTTCACCCAGCATATTCACTTATCTTCTCATCTTTGACTTCTACAAAATCGACGTTCATCTCTTCGCTATCAAAATCTATTTTTTATACTCCTTTCACTACAAAAAATTGTAACGACCATATGTACACTTTGTGAAGTTGTACATTCCCTTCAAGTTTTTGTGTTATCTTCTACGTTTGCGTATTCGTTTATATCATACGTTACATCTTCATACATGCTTCTCATCAGTTTTTTCAAATTTAAACACCAGGTAAATTCACGTCATTGGAACATCTAATGATATAACTTGGCCTCCAGAACCTTGATCATGATTTTTTTTAATAAAACTGAAATAGCTAAAAATAACATGTAGCTTGTGAAATGGTTTGTGATTCATATCGGTGAGGCAGGTTTAAGTACATTGCAATAAAATGTCGTTTGAGTGAACATTGTATATTGCTTCATAACCTGGGTAATGTTAGCATTATACACAAGTGCAAAAACCCGAATTTTGGCGAGGTTCATAACTTTTCGATTTTTTATGTCTTGTTTTGTAGTCCCTTAAGTGTCTAAAAATTTTATTTAAAGAGTTATTTCCTCCATGAAAGCACTTTTAATTTAATCCTAAAATGCATTTTGACTATGTGTCTAATATACCGGGTGACAACGAAATCATTTTACAAGGCACTACTCAATTGCTGTTTGAAGAAGAACCTTGAAATTTTGTGTGAAGATATGACATAAAAAATAATATTATAAATTAAAAAACAACTGAATATAGCTTCCGGTTCGACCGGAAGTGAGTATGAAACAAGAATTTTAAATAGGAGCCTGCATATATTTTTACATATTTGCATAGAGCTTAAAATTTCATTTTCAACGATGTATCATAAGTATTCATTCATTTTCAAAATGGCGGCATAAATCCCATTTATGCCAAATTCAATATGGCGGAGTTTTGACAGTATCTATGGATTTTTGCCAAACTACCCGCTAATTTAAGAGGCAACACGGATTATCTTGCCGCTTCTACAATGAGTTGGCAAAACAAAAAAATATGACATAAATTTGGAACCATTTTTGTTGTTACTTAAAATGTCAAAATGTATTTAAAAGTTTCTCAGAGTTCTGAATAGGAACCGGAGATTTCTAAATGCTAACAATAAAGAGCGTCTTATTGCCGAAAGAAAATGCTCAACAGTACGTGTCTTTTGTATTTTTTTTATTTCTATCAATAACAAGGACGATGACGGAAATTAGCATAGTAAAAACTAAGTAACAAAAGTAACTAAATAACAAATAACTTAGCAGATAAATTACAAATTAAAAATTAGGAAAAATAATTTAATTAAGTGTTCTATGCGTTGGCCGCCGAGTTGTTGACATAACCTGACTCTCTTGATGTTTTCTATAATCAATTTTCGTAAATGTTCTTGAGATATGCTTTCAGTGGCTGTTCTAATTCTATTTTCCAGTACTTCTAGAGACCCTGCATATATTTTTACATATTTGCATAGAGCTTAAAATTTCATTTTCAACGATGTATCATAAGTATTCATTCATTTTCAAAATGGCGGCATAAATCCCATTTATGCCAAATTCAATATGGCGGAGTTTTGACAGTATCTATGGATTTTTGCCAAACTACCCGCTAATTTAAGAGGCAAAACGGATTATCTTGCCGCTTCTACAATGAGTTGGCAAAACAAAAAAATATGACATAAATTTGGAACCATTTTTGTTGTTACTTAAAATGTCAAAATGTATTTAAAAGTTTCTCAGAGTTCTGAATAGGAACCGGAGATTTCTAAATGCTAACAATAAAGAGCGTCTTATTGCCGAAAGAAAATGCTCAACAGTACGTGTCTTTTGTATTTTTTTTATTTCTATCAATAACAAGGACGATGACGGAAATTAGCATAGTAAAAACTAAGTAACAAAAGAAACTAAATAACAAATAACTTAGCAGATAAATTACAAATTAAAAATTAGGAAAAATAATTTAATTAAGTGTTCTATGCGTTGGCCGCCGAGTTGTTGACATAACCTGACTCTCTTGATGTTTTCTATAATCAATTTTCGTAAATGTTCTTGAGATATGCTTTCAATGGCTGTTCTAATTCTATTTTCCAGTACTTCTAGAGACGGTGGAGGAGTGGCATAAACTTTTTCTTTTAAATAGCTCCAAATTGATAAATCCAGAGGGGTTAAGTCTGGCAACCTTGCAGGACAACTTATTGGTCCGTTGGTTCCTAGATAATTTCCACCAAATCGCTTATTTAAGTAATTAGCTACAACTCTAGAGTTGTGGGCAGAGGCGCCGCCATCCAGCTGGTATAATAAATGTTCGTTGTTCTGCAGATGTTCTATAAAATGTTCTATTTGGTTTTGTAAAAATTTCAATTACATTACCATTTAACGGTTGATAGAAAAATATAGGACCACTGATATTAAGCCCTGCCACGCCTGACCAAACATTCATTCCAAAACGTTCCTGGAAGGCACCTTCTCGCACTAGCCTTTGGTTCTCCGTAGCCCAATACCGAGTATTTTTTTGATTAAACATCCCTGGATTAGTCAACTTGGATTCATCCGAAAATATAACATGGCGATGGAAGGCAGCATTTATGTTCAGATTATTCAAAAACCAGTTGCAATAATTAAGTCGTCTTGGAAAATCATTTTCAAACAGATAGTGATAAATTTGGTAAAAGATTTAAAGCCATGTTTCTTTGAAATTCTCCAACTTTCGTGGGAAATTTTTGACTGCTCACTTATTTCGCGAGTAGAAGCAGTACGATCATATTCTACGTACGCTACGACGTTTATTTCGCTTACTATAAAACAACTACCATTAACAGCATCGTTATGTTCATTTTTCAAATATTATAATATATATAATTATAATAGGCGTGTGATGGAGCTTGACGATCTGGAAACCGCTCCTGATATAATCAAATCTTTTTGGCATTCACCATAAATAAGGAGCACGTCGATTTGATGATCTCTTAAATAATTCATTATACTTTGTAGCAGTTAACTACTAAATTGATTTCAAATGAAATAAATAAATAAATTAAAAAATATTACACAAAAACGATGCTGACGCGTTGAAACGAGACTGATAATTGACAGTAATTTTCAAGGTTTCCCCTTTCATTTGTTTCCAAAGCATCCCCAGATCTCCGTGCAAACCAGAGAAATATTCGTCACTGTTGATTATTACAGTTCTGGTTTTTTAAAATAAAGAAAAGAAAACAAAATAATTAAAATAAAAAATTAAAATCATAGATATTTTCTGTCACGTGACTAGATAAATACCTATTAACTGTGCCCTGATAATAATAAATACTCATTTTCTAATTAGTTATAATGCATGATATAGCTCTCCAAAATTTTCCAGCTTTTTTCTCTAAGACAAATCCCTTATAGTGGACATTTTTTTAGAGATAATCCGACATACTTTATGAGTAGTATTTAGAAAACACCGTTTCCTATTCAAAATTCTGAGAAAATTTTAAATACCTTTTGACATTTTAAGCAAAAACTAAAATGGCCGCAAATTTATGATATTTCTTTTGTTTTGCAGAACTCAATGCAGAAGCTGCAAGAGAATCGATTTTGCCTCTCATTTCAGCAGGTAGTTTGTCAAAACGCCGCCATGTTGAATTTGGCGTAAATTCAATTTACGCCGCCATTGTGAAAAAAATGACAACTTGTGATACATCGCTGAAAAGGAAATTTTAAGCTTCATGAAAATATGGAATAGAAAGCTCAGGTTCCTATTGAAACTCAAACAAAAATGTCACAAATTTATGACATTTTTTTTGTTTTGCCAGCACCCTACTGAGCGAGGGCCGTGGCAAATGCTCGTTCCGGAAGTTGTTGTATCCATATCGTCACACAAAATATCCAGGTTCTTCTTTAAACAGCAAATGAATAGTGCCTTGTAAAACGATTTCGTTGACACCCATAATATCTTACTAACAAAATAACAAATATAATTCTAAAAAGTATATACATAATTTTGCAGTGCATAGCCAGTCTTTTAATTGTCGTTTACATGTTTTTCCAAATTTAAGAATCTTTATTTCGTTTCAATATATACTATAACTTAGCGGCTAAGAGCTTGAATGATTTTTTGAATAGTGTTTTGTGTAGTCTTTGGGTACTAGATGAGCCTATTCGGTATCGTGTATCATGCTTGTGTATATAGGAATTTTATTCATTACAATGTTTATGGTATAAGGTGGTTGCATGTAAAAAATAAAGTTGCCTACTCTCAAGTAATCCCGTTTACTAATATAAATTGTTTGACAGATATAATCTTGGCTTATGGAAACTGGTTTTTAAAACAGTTTTCTGTGCCTCTGATGAACATTAGTGGTGATCTGTTACCATAAGCAATAGCACCCCATACCATAACTCCCACGGTGTGGTGAACGTGACACTCTCTGTCAAATTGTGGGCCAGGTCTTTCCCCACGTCGCCTTCTCACTCTTGCCTGACCATCGTGCATCTCCAGACAGAAGCGGGATTTGTCACTAAAGACCACCTAATTACATTCCCCGGACCCATAGAGGTCTTTCTCTACACCAGAGCAAACGGTTACGCCGATGTTCAGCTGTGAGAGGTAGCACCCAATATGGGGTATTGAGTCTATTTAAAAGATATTTTGGTTTCTTTTTCGCTAAAATTTTATGAATCAAACATAGACTTTGGTGTTTTCTGAGATTCTCCATGTTCATTTTATAATTCTCTTTGTACACATAGCTTATGTGATCAAATTTCCGTATACCTAGAGAAAAACCGTAACAAGAATTTTGTAGCCGTTGTAACTTGTCTTTATCATTTTTTATTATAGCTCTGCCATATACATTTGGTCAGTATGATACCCTTGAAATTATAAGAGCATCACAATAGCATTTTCAGTTTACTGTTTAATATATTTCTTTGAGGATATATTTGTTTGAATACTATATGATTTTGAGCATAATTCTTCAATATGGAAATCAAATCTTAATTCATTGCCCAGCTATAACCCTAAATTTTTGCTAATGGGTACAATTGGTAATCGAATTTTATTAATTGCTGATTAACAAAGATTTTCTGCTATATCACGCTTGTTTCTTGACCCAGAAAACATTGTTTTAGATTTATTAGCATTTAGTGTCAAGTTATGAGCTGCTGAGATATTGAAAAGTAAGTCCAGATCGTTGTTAATTAGATGAAAATCGTCAATGGCAACGTTGTAGTATATTTGTGTATCATCTGTGATGTGATGAATTTTGCTGTATTTTGAATGTTTTTAAAAATCCGAAATGTATTTAGAAAATAAAAGAGGACTGAACATCCTGAACAGCCTTGGTGTACACCCATTTCTAAAATGGATTTATTAGATAATTCGTTATTAATGGAGATATACTGATATACTCGTATATTTTAGTAAGGAAGCTGTTTATAAGTTGGCCTGCAGCAGACCTAAATCCATAATATCTAAGCTTGCCACACAAAATTTCGTGGTCAATTGTATCACGAAGATGGTCCTCAAGTAATAGCAACATCCTCGTAGATATACGATCCGTTTTGATGCATTGGGATATATCTGAGGTACCTACGGATTTAAAAATAAACTTTTTTGGATCATTGTGGTCGTGATCATGAATCCTCATCTGACGAAGACGTTGCCATGTTAATTTATAGTCTTTTGTTTAAGTAAAAATTCTATGAAAGCTTTTTGTTCACGTTGAATAGTACCTATTTTAGTATAGTTCCTTAATTCGTTATAATATTCGCAATGAGATTTTAGACCTGTTTTTTTGAATTTCGAAAATGCTTTATCTCTGAGTTTTCTATGTAATTTCACATTATCTGTTATCCATGTGACAAAATTTTCTAGTCACTTTATATTCGTATCTTAGACAACAAACGTCAAATATGCTAGTCTACTGCTCTGTGGAAAAGGAAACTATGACTTTTGGATCAGTAAAAGTATAAATTAGATTCCAGTCGACAATAGTAAGTTGCAGAAATCAAAATGCTTCCATGAATGGCTTTTCACTATTTCAGGAGAAAACGTTATTAATATCGAATGAATCATTTAAATAGAGATTAAATAATTGTGGGCCCAGTACTGTTCCTTGGGGTACACCACAATTGATTTACATTAGATTTTGACAGTCTGTGTCTGACCTGAAAGGTAATTTTGTAGTACCATTTGTGATGTTCTCCTAAATCCCAATCTATCCATAACTTTGAGAAGCTCGATATGGTTCACCATATCAACGGCATTTTTTAGGCCAACAAAGTTATCAATAGTAGGTATTTTTCTGTCGACATTAGAATTAATTAAATAGTATGTAACCGTGGTTCCATCTTATTCCAACAGAATCCGGACATCGTATTGGTCCATTATTTGAATGTACCTTACCCGGATGACAACAAGTTGGCAGTGATCACGCCAAGTTTGGCCCTTTGGGCAGACAAGAAGGAATGGACGAAAGACGAATTGGTGTCCCAACTAAAACCCATGTTCTTCAGTGAGGACGAACCTGATCTCAACAATGAGTTGGAAATATCGGTAAGCCACGAGGATAGGGCAAACCATAACAAACACGTTTACGACACGCAACAGCTGGTCAGATCAGGCTAGTTGTTTTTTGTTAAAACCAGTTTGTAAGCTTTGAATGAGTCCATCCTTTTCGTATTAGTATCACAATCAATTCGATGGGACTAGCATACCCGATTTGAAAAAGATGTAGAGATCGACCATAAAGTTGTCATAAAATTGATAAAACACCCAGTGTACTTTGCTTTGCTTGGAACTTCGCACGGATTACCAGCCTATGGAATCGAGTGTGTTACTGACAGAGAAAACCTCTAGACAGCCTACCGTCTCATGCTTCATTAAATCAGACTCCATTTGGATGGGTGCCACAGATACATTGTTGACATTTACACTGCGTGTGATGTTCCAGCTGTGTAATAATCGTTTATATGTAGACGTGAGAGACATCGTCAATGGAATTTTTCTCAGTATGAGAATACGCAAACGCCAACCTATGTTTCTCAATATGGAGCTGAAAATATGTTTAGATGAAGTAACTGATCTATAAGATGGCCTTGTTCTGAATCTAGAACTAATGTGGAACATACGAGTATACTCTTAAATGTAAGTTATAAAATGAATAGACTATAAACTCCAACTATGTACTCTAAAATACCACTATCTCCAGCTCTTAAAAAATCGTCTGCTCAAATAACAACAGTGAATGGTTAGAGTGAAGTTTCTGTGCCCTTTTCAATATGCAAACCAAATTCAAAAATTCCAATATACATGTTGTTGTTTGAACTAGTTTGGACCTGTACGAGTACTACTTTTCCTGTCCGTATCACAGTTGATTCCATAGCATAAGCTAAGTACGCGTACCAAGTTTTTGGAAAACGTAACGGGTAGTTAAGAAGTTATGGGGTCACAAAGAATTGGCCAAAATCGATAAGATTCGTATCTCAGTTACAAGAGGATAAAACACCCATTAACTATAGGTTTTTCATAATCACTTCAGTGAAATATATCCACAGTTAAAATATATCCCTCTGTCAATGAAACACCCTGCCTAATGATGTTTTTAGACGGCAGAAACTGTGGAAGCCATTGTTGGCCAACTGATGGAGAAACAGAGAGTGGCCAGGCAGGCTGCATTGGTAAAACAGCTGGAGTGCGGTTGTCCAGACTCAACATGTGCTGATGGCAAAAGCTGTTCTCATCCGATGCGAAGGATAGGGTCGAAAGAAGGGCAAAATCCAGGACAGGGCTGCAGGACACCAGAGGGAAGTAATCAAGTTTCTTCCACCACGGGGACAGGTACGAAGTATTCTCTGATTCCGCATTTCTTAAAGAAAAGTAAAAGTATATAATCGTCAACATTTCTTGGATCTAGAATCGTTAGACTACTTCCCTAACTGTTCTTTCTGTAGCATCATCGATAATTTAATTTATATCTCTTATTCATAATCCCTACTGATATCAACACACTTATTCAATCGGTGCTCTCACTTTTCACCTCCCGACTGCAACTAAACAGCCCCCTACGGCACATATCACCTATTGACCACTCAACAACTTCCTTCTCGTAAATTTCCTTTACATTTTGGCAATAGTTAGATGTCACTGGGAGCCAGACCTGGAAAATACCGTGGGTAACCGAATAATTTGAAACTCAGTCAGTGTAGGATAGTTATAGAAATGCAGAAGCTACAGCTGGGAGCATTATCCTGATGAACCAATACGAAACTTGTTAACTTTCCCAATGTTCCTCTTAAAAAGAATTTCGCCATTTTGAGGTCAAGCTACACATCCATCTTGTAACACCATATCATGTACTGCTTTGTTTTAATCGGTCGATACCATTACAAGTGGACACCAGCTTTTGACTATATTGCAAAGAAAACACGCATTCACTAAACAAATTAGTGTAGATATACCACTTCTCAATGGTTTGCAGCATATTTACATTCAAGTCGCGGAGCGTGGTTGTGTCGACTGTTCTTCGCTGAGTAACTCACGACTCCTTCATCGTCTGTCTTTTATGCGTGTATATTCGAGGCTGTTTTGGGCTCCATATTTCCGGTGGTCGGCGATAGATATCGCCGCCAGATGCTCTGCTGGACGCCAATACGTAGCACGACAGTGCGGCTGCAAGGGTTCTTACGCCGTCATTAGATGACGCTTGTGGCACACCCTCCAACAGCCGTCACAATGTCTTGATGGATTTCACTGGGTACCATAACCCTTTTCCATCCGTTTGTATTAAAATCCATGTCACATATAAACCAAAAAGCACATAATGACTAAACAGTTTGATATGTAAACCTAGTGTTTTGCTAACATAGTCTAAAAAAGATCACTTGTTTTACTGTCAACAACGATCACTAAATATGCATCTGCAAAATGGTAAGGGCAGATCATCGAGATCAACCGTCGTGTAATAAATGCTCCATGGCAGTGATCCTAATACGGATCATGCGTAACTCCCATAGTGATCTCGAACCTTTTGCATCTGTTACTATAAGTAATCTTCTGTCGATGTAGGTTTTGATTTTATACAGCAAAGTTTTACTTGAGCGATTACCATGATTTCTAGGCTCGATGATGTTGAACAACAGCTCGCCGCGAGTCTACTCCCGTGACTCTCGCACCCACCAATCATCCGCCAGCAATCAAAACACTTCAAACACAGGCAATCCAACAAATGGAGGTAGCAGTTGTTCTTCAAGCTCCGGAAATACGCCGCCATTGGTCCTTAGTTTGAGCCAAATCCAAGGTGGTGGGGGATTGCTTATACTCAACAGCAGCAATTCGTCTAGTGGTGCGGGTCAGAATCAACAGAGCCATCTTGTCAATCCGGTGTCAGTAGCCAACTTCGTGTGCAACACCAGCAGGTTTGTGTCGTTGGACAATTCTCATCAACATAACTGTGAATTGTTAAAAATAGAAAATACTCAACTTGATTTTCAAATTAGCGTGCTATCAAAGATACCATTCACAAATGTCGGTCACAGATTTTGCGCTAACACGCCTGGAAGTGATGATAAAATCATTCAGATTGTAGAATATCAGCATTTTCTTCCGGGATCATAAGAAAAATAGAACAAGAATGTCGCATCTTCTTTAATTTTTGCAGTTTGCTCAGTCGCATTAGTTTACCCGGTCTTCGGTTTTCACAAATGTCGGCCACATATTTTGAGCTATTACGGTTCAGTCCAGAAGTGGTAATCAGAAGGTCATTCAAAACATAGAATTTTAATATTTTCACTCAATATTGGTTGTTAGTTTCATCTAAGAACAAAATTACGAAGTATCAATTCATTAAACATCTGATTTTCATTCACTGCAAGTAGTTGCAAACATCCACTTTCAAGCATTAATAAGTTAAATGTACGTTCCTGTTTCGGAAAAATAAGCACAAAGTTTTCGCGAATATTACTTATTTAATCTTGTTTGGCGACAAGTCATTCTCCGACACGGACGTGCAGCGGGATGACATGAGGACAACGTAGGTAACAGTCTTACCGCAGTTTATACTGTTATTTTCTTATATCTCCAATTTATTTTGCAAGCGAAATGATTAAATTTTGAACACTACGCTCGTCTATTTGATGCAGGGGTATGCAAAAAGAAAGTAGAAATAGTAGCCATCTAGTGCTGAAACAAGAAGTGATGGACACAAATCCTTCGTCGTGCCTGCATTCCTCCAAACAGAGTTCAAAGTCTAATCAAAGAGAAACGAAAATGGAAATCAACGATAACCTGAGACAATCAATGTTCAGCGACGCGGCCATGTATCCCAACACATCGTCCGTTTCTGCTTCCAGGTGAGTTCAATGGCATTTTGCATGGCATGAGGGTTCTAGCGTGTTTTTAAAACTATCTTTTAAATTTAACAAGTAATCAAATGAAGCTTAACACTAGTAGTTGTTGTGGTGGGAAGACGAAGCCTGGCAAGTGAGGCATCGTTTGCCCTTTTCTGCCAACCCTAAATGTACCAACACTCTACTCCAGATGCTTATCTATTAATCTATCGAACCTTGCTGATCTCTTATTGAGGAGGATCACTCCGCATATATGCAACTCCATTATCATGCTCCATGGCCTGAATACCTCTCAGCCCGTACGTACCAATATCGGTACAAATGCTAAAAAATTGAATGCTGTATCACTCTCTTCCCAGCACATGTAGCATCTCTTTTCACCCTCAGAAGGGACAAGTGACTGTTCAATATACAGCGGCAGGTAAGAACCCCCACCAAAAGATTGCGTGATGCTCTAATTCAGTCCAGTAGCCAGTGCGTTCGAGGCCCGCTACTAACCTCTTGGCCTGCGTGCAGTCATATCTCGCTCTCTGTGTGTCTGCTTATACCGAAGCTAAGATAGGCTCGGGACCTTTGCAGGAGCCCTTGACCCCCGCCTATCCAGAAAATGAGCTTTGAACTAGAGTCTAAAGAGCAGTAGTGTATTCCTGAACTGAAGGTGAACTTGTCTTTGGAGATGCCATTCTATTCGGGATTGCTTAACTATCAGACCATATGCTCCGCTTGCTACATGTTTGAAACTCCTCTAAGTTTGCCTCCATTAAGATTAAGACAATAGAAACAGCCACTTATTGGTCGCTCTTCCATGACTTCCAGCATTTTTGTGCAACAGGATCTGTAACGTTGACTTTACGTATTCACGATCTTTTTGAACTAACCTAGGTAGATTATTTTCATATGATGGCATTGATCAAAAAGCTGATTATTTAACCAAGATTCTCACAGAAATCTTTAACACACATGCACCAGTAAAAACTGTAAGGGCCAACAAACCCCCAGCACGGTAGCTAAGCGATAAATAACGTGCTTTTCTTGAGGAAAAAAATAGGTCTCATGGTTTATATAAAGAAAAAATACTTTAGTAAGCTATGAAAATTATAGGAATCAAGCTTTACAAAATATTACGATTGCTAAAAGAGCCTAATGTTCAAGGTCAGTCAAGTCATCGTTGGTTGTCAGAGCTGTCCGTGGGACCTTAGCTCTTGAGTCACAGTATCAGCTTGTAAGTCTGTCAGGTCTGGTAACCCAGAAACCAGACAATGTTACGGAAAAAAAGGGAAGAAAATGAGAGAAGGAAGAACGAGAGCAAAGGGGAAGAAGAGAATTTTTTAGGATAGGCAGCGTTTAGGCATTGTTAAAATCACTTCACAGATTTTGATATGGTCTAAAAATGTTCGATTTTTTTTAAAGATTTTTTCAAATTGCTCCAATTTTGGTTGTTCTAAGTTCACGAATTAATTTTGATTACAGTGCGAGCCGCGGCCTTTTGTGCTTGCGAACCATGGGGCGTCAGCAATAGTGCGCAACGTCCTGCTTTGCAGAACCTGCAGATTTCGCATGTGTCTTATGACCACCTTATAGAGTCGAATCTTGTTAATCAAACTTAATTTTGAACGTTTACATAATAATGCGTAAAGCTGTCGAAACGTAATTTGGAATTTAGTTTTTAGCGCTCCTATATATGGTTCCGCCAAGTCATCCCTTTGTCCACAATGACACCGAGATACTTAGCGGAGGATTCCCATGGTATACGAAGTCCATTCATTGAAACTTCAGACGGAACGCCGCGACGTCTTTTTGTACAGTAGATTGCCTGCGTTTTCGAATGGTTAATTTTAATTAGCCACCGATCCGCCCAATCTAATACTTCCTCCACCGCACTTTGCAGCCTGTCATGGACTCATAGAGATAGACTTCACAGTTGCTGGGACTAGGGACGTCATGGTTGTACAGTGAGTAAAGCATAGGTCCAAGGACCGAACCCTGAGGGACGCCGGCTGTAATCAGCCGTATTGTCGACAGGACATTGTCAATTTTGATCCGAAATTTCCTACCTTCAAGGAAGGATTTCAGTAGTTTTAGAAGCCAAAAAGGAAAACCCTTTTGGATTAGTTGCCACACCTTGTCAAATGCTTTTGAGACTTCCAAAAGGAAGATGCCAGTACTTTCGTTAAGGGTGAATCCTCTGGATACTCGTTCCACCTGCCTCCGTACTATGTTCAGACCGAAAACCGAATTGCACGTCAGGAATCACATGGTGACGAGAAATTCTCAAGGTGACGGAACGGAACTGGCAGCAGGATAATGGGACGATAATCCTGGGGAAATATCGAACCCACCTTCTTTGGAATCATTATAACTTCAGCGGTCTTCCACGCGGATGGGAAGTACTGCATCCTTAGCATGGCATTGACTATTTCCACGAGATAAGTTAAGGACTTCCGCGAAAGCAGCTTCAGCGCCTTATTAGTGATTTGATCCTCCCCAGGTGCTTTACGCACTTTAAGGTCTTTAATATGACCTTGAATCTCTGCTGGTGTGCAATGTGGGATCTCTGTAGATGCCGCTAAGCAGATCTTCGGTTGAAGATGCTTCTGAAGAGGAATCTTCTGATGAAGAAAAATCACCAACGGTAGCGCGACTGTCACTGACGTCGTTGGCCCTGAAATATGTCCTGACAGATCTTCCGTTGTGTTGCTCCTCGGCAAGGTCATTATTTAGATCATAGTTGGGAGAGAACTATCTTTCCATGGCATCGGCGAAAATCTCAAGCTTTTCCTCTGTCCTGAAGACAATGCCTCCAAGACCGTGGATGTATGGGATTTGTTCCCGCTTTCCGTTGTTGAGCGACTTCGCCACCTTCCAGAGAGGAATGCTTGAGTCAAGCATCCCCGCCAGAAAGTCGTTCCATCGCTCATTGCGGAATTCATGAAGAGCATTTCTTACTTCATGCACAAGATTCGTGCTCTGCGAATGTCATCAAGATGGCAAGACCTTTTCCCTTGCTGAATTGCAGCACTTTTATCAGAAATTTTCTGACGAATGTTTGCTAGCAGAAAAGCTGCTCTGGCGTGTCGCTGCACGGGAAGTACAGCTTCACGCTGCAGAGCTTGCTGAACAAAACTTGTCCACTCTGCTTGAGCCGCATCTGCTCGTATGCCGTTCTCATCACCTATGATCGGAATACTGGGGAACTATCTGAGGACCGACTTGTATAGCTCCCAATCAATGCGTTTCCTTGGAGGGGTTTCATCCCCCAAGATCTGCTCATTACCCACTTCCAAAACGACGGAAAGATGATCGCTTGAGATGTCATACATGATTCGAGAGGCCACATCTATACTTTCATCCACAAGATCTTGATGAAATTCCCTTTTTTTGGGAATGTCCCTTAGACCCAAACAATTCCAAAAAAGAATTTTGATAAACGCAGGCTGTCGTCTATTGTACCTAGCCATTTGCAGGAAGGATCGACTACAAAGCCTGTATTGCGCTAATCAGAGGACCTATGATCTGCTGTAAGGACCTTAGCGCGGTTGCCAGGTCCACATTTTGCGTGTTCGCAGATGATCCCACAGAGGGGGCAGCCCGGGTTGCATCCCTAGCTCCATCCGCGTAACTTACATTGCGCCTTTGCGCTATCACTTGCAGATTTTTTCTGCGGGCAAATCTGCAAGTACGGCTATTCGCTGAGTGCCCCCCTCCACAGGGCGCGCACTTTCGTTCCTCTTGTTCTGTTAGAGGGCATAAGTGAGTCATGTGGCCAGAAGCACATTTTAGACACTTAGGTGGTGCAGTGCAGTAAGATTGCGCATGCCCATATTTTTGGCAGCGGTGACACTGCCCGATGAGTCTTGAGTTCTTTTGAACTTCGACTCGGATAGCCAAACCTACCAACTCATGTTCGTTGAACAGCTGCTGAGATTTTTCTATCTTGGGCAGTATGACTACCACGCCGCCATCGCATTTCAGGCGAATTATGTGCAGGGGGGAATATCTCCTCTGTTGCAACTCTTCCTTGATCTCCGTTTCCGAAAATGTCGCAGGTACTCCTCTGATTACAGCATGAATGTTCCTCTCCGAGGGTAGAGGGAAAGTGTGGCACCTCTTCCTCCCTGAAGAGACGCATAATCCAGCTGTAATCATCCTCGGACTTGGGAATTATCCTGATTCCTGCATCGATGGCAACCGCGCATTGGAATTTGATGCCCAAAGAAATAAACTCATTTACGCCTCGCCATCTAGAAGCATCGCGAAGAACGATGGGAATAACACGTACCTTGCGTGGGGGCTGTGCAGTCGTGTCTTCTGATACCTGAGATGTCAAAGGCGAAGAAGTAACCGATAGATTAGGCACAGGCTGTTTATTAGAGTCGCTTGCAGTTGAACTAGACGTTTCAGGCTGCGATTTTGGTGGAAGGAGAGGAGGAGAGCTTGTCGTGTCGGTCTTGTTTCGTCGCGTTTCACTGGGCTTAACCTTGATAAAACCGTCAGGGAGTGTATCGAGGCAGTGGAATGATCGCTTGAATTATTTAACGGTCTCTTAAGATTGACAGCTTTGTGTTTACTGGGATTTTGATGGAGTGTTTGGGAAGCATGTGTAATATTTAGATGGGAAGGTACCTGGGTTTTCAGTAGGAGGTCTAATTTAACTGTTAGGTCGTTAATTGTCCGCTGCGCTTCATTGGTCTTCTTATCATCGTCCTTTTTTGGCAGCTCCTGTCGAACCATCTCCAATTCGGCTCTCAACTCCTCTCTAGGGTCTGCTCCTTCGACTCCGTCTCGATCGCCGTGGTGGAAGCGCCATTTCCTGACCCCCCTGGCTTAGTTTCCATAGTAAATATCTCAGTTATCTCGCTTTTTGTCTCAAAAATTTTCCGGATCGAAATTACGGGACAGCAGTCATCAGTGCGATTCTACTATTCAAGGTATGGCTAATAATACTGACACTAAAGGACTTTGGAAGAGCTCAGAGCGTCTTAACATGAATGTTCATAGCAAACCTGCATTAATAGAGAAATTCCATGATGCAAATAAAGTTAAGTATCAATCTTTGTCTTGTCTATAATGATCAACCAGCTGATGGAAAAGTTTGTCGTTTCTACTCGGATAATAAATTGAATCCTACCTATAACTTTTTATTATATACGGTTGATCCAAACGAGATATTAGACACAACAAAAAGCTTGAAATCTAATGCCAACTGGTCTGGTGGTCTATCTCTTACGACGATCAAGGTCTACCTGCCAGTTATTTTCTATCATATTGTTCATATTATAAATATGTTTGAGCTCCATCATGTTTTTGAATATGCCCTAACCTGAATCAATCAGAAACGATGAAAGCAATTTCTTCACAATGATGTTTGATCACCCTTAAAAATGTTCAGAATGTTGTAAAGCTTATAAAAACAATGTTGGGACGATTTTCAAAATTAAGTAGCATTACTTACCATGGCCCCACATGGATGTATGTGTTGTAGACATCGCAAAACAAAAAAACACCGATGATCCACCCCCTCCGACTGAGAAAAATCATGGTCAATACGTGACAATACATATTATTCAAATCAAGCGTTCACGGTTTTTGGCGGTTACGTCACAATGTCATACTAAATAAGCTGCTGTACCATGTGAGAGACTTGTAGAAAATTGCAAACCGCATAAGCCAATCCTTAGCGCAGTAGCTCCTTGCTCTCGCACACACGTATCAATTAGGTACTACAGGGCCATTGTTTCCATTCACTTAGGTGGTAGACGGTCTCTGACAGTCGAACGCGGATCTCTAAGGCCGGGCCAGAAAGTTTGGATGTTGCATACAGACGTGTTCCTCTCTCGAGTCCGTGTGGCATCCCCCCTTTCCCCTCTAACCCCCTAGAACCCCACGGTGTTTAGGCTTTAGGCCTTCGTGGTGGTTTAAGAATGAAAAAAAAAATCAAAAAATACCTCCTTTGTAGAAATCTATACTTCAAATTTTTTCCCTCCATTTGGAATTTGCCACACTTGGGTGCCCCAAAGCAAAGGTAAATGAAAAAAGGAAAGAGAATTGCTAGTGTTTACATTGAAAAAAACATTAAGAACGAAAAAGAATATAAAAAATATATCCAAAAGTACAAATCAATGCAATAAGGAGTTGGCTCAACACATAATATATAACAGTAGGCCTCAGTGAGAGAGGATAACATAACACTCAAACAACCAGCATGTATATCACAGTTATTAGAAACACCATTAAGACTTTTTAACAGCTTTTTACAGATACATGCAATAACAAATTGATCCCTATTGGTATTCCTTCTCCTGAATCTGCAAAAATATATGAGCGCAACATAATTGCGAGAACATTAAAATCAATTTGAAATAGTAGGCTTGAGTAATTTATCAACTTTTAAATTCAAATATGTCAAAAAACGACATTGCACCTTCTCAGCATCCGCTTTTATTATATTATGTAATAATATTATATGAAAATGCATGCTGCACGTTTCTTTCATTCTCTCTCTCTCTCTCTCTCTGCCTTTCTCGGTGTTAAATGTCGTCCTCACGGTCCTCTCGGTCCAGATCGAGGTATTATTACAGATCCACCCCGGTGCACCACCAGCAGGAAGTTGTGATGTCTAGCGTCCCTTCAACCCCCTCCAAGCACATGGACACCTCAGGTGGAAGTACCAGTAGAGGCGGAGGCCAAGAGGAAGCTGCTGCTACAGCAGCTGCTGAGGACTACCACAAACAGCACCAACAGGGCAACGGGTACTGCGGGGATACGGTGGTACTGCTCGGTACTGACTCCAGAGGGTCGATTATCAGCAAGAGTGATGGGTCATCGATCATCAACGGGGGGTTAGTAATTGTCTTATACTGACATAAAAATGACGTCAAGTAGTAGACGGGTATTGAGAATATTTCTAAGCCCCAAGGGCAAATCAACGGGGAAATATATGCGTGAAATATGTGTAATATGTGCGTAGAATTACTAGGTTTGAAATAGTATAAATACGATTATACTAACGTCAAAAAATCGTAGATTCTTCAATGAGACCCTGGACCTCTCCCAGGAAGACATCCAGCGCACCTTATCGGCAAACATGCCTTTGTGTCCGGAACTTAACCCGCATGGTAACTCTACTCGCAATGATTCCAGTAGCACGGTTGAAGATCATCGTTCTGGTGCCACACCCAAAACTAACCACCACGTAAGTATTTTTGTCTGAGCTTAAAATGGTTATTATACTCCAGCAGAGATCATCAGTCGTCAAGTTGCAATGTCTGCTAACCATACCGCCATACTTAGGCTACAAGCAGTAAAGTTCATTTATTGCCTTTTTTAAATTTTGACGCCAAAAAACCTCATTTTTCTATGATTAAAATAATTACAAAATACGTAATTGATCACGTTATTTAACAATAAATTTTTCACAAATTTTTCATGTTATATTATTATTATATTATATGAGTTACGTTCCCTTAGGGGCCGTTCAAGTATTACGTAAGCAGATTTATTACAATTATCTACCCCCCCATCCCCCTTGTCAGCAAAAGTAAGCAAAGATCTTACCCCCTCTCCCCATGTTTACTTAAACATTTGTCAATTAATGTATTGTTTTTTTTAATATTATAATTATAACGTTATAATTATAATTTGAAAAATAAGAAAATAGATTTAGGATAGAGATTATATTTTACTGATACGGTATTCAACATAGAATAAAGGACAAAAATATTATATCTTACTAACATAACAAACTTATTTTAAATTTTTGGTACATATATTAAATTCAAATTAACAGTCTTCAGTCCATGAAACCCGAATCCATGATTCTAAGTTTTCGATGACATTGGATTGCTTCGATTGCTGCTCAGTGTTGTGAGTTTGCTCGCTTTCATCGGATTTTGTAATGTCTACGTCGTTCTCATCGAGCCATTCAACATCATGGTGCTCTAAATGTTGAATAATGCACATCAGTTCATTAGCACGACGAGCAGCGACTCTTACAGGTCTAACTTTCCTATCAGTGTGCGTGTTTACTTTTTTATGGATATTATCGATGTGACGATTTAGTGACTTGACGGAAGCATGATAAAGACCACACGTTTAGCATGTTCGACTTGATAGCCTCAATTTTACCGTCGGACAAAAATATTCGTAGGGTATTTGCAGAAAATCTTTGAGTGAAGCACTTAAGCGTAGAGCTAAATTGACTGGAAGATTAAGAAATTGCCCTTCTTCATCCAAAACCAAGTCATCAACTGTTTGTTTTACTTTTACAGGTGGTGGAAGAAACCTATTGTCTAGTAATCTAAATAGGCCACTTCTTGGACGACAGCATTCTGTATTTCTACATTTTACAATTTGAAGCAAGTATTGGCTCTCACGCACATGTTCTGAATATAATTTAATGTCTGGAAAATGAGGTAGATCTTGTTCACCTGCCCCAACATATTTTGCATTAACATTATAGCCATCATTTTCCATTGAACTCCATACTTCAACTAATACATTTCCTGCAAATTCGAAATTAGATCTTTCTAAATGTTCATCAATTGTAACGCCACGTTCATCCAAATGAGACCCAAAATTGTCATGAGGCAATATTGAACCAGCCAGTTCCCGACTAAGAGGAGCCATTCTGCGCTCTACTCTGTTATACGCACTTCTTCCAGGAGCATTGGTAGCTAAAAACGATGCATCGAGATCATGTCACATAAGTGTTGTATAGCAAACCCTATGACTTTTTGATAACGTGGATTTTCATCTGGCCCTCCATCATCCGTCATGATTACCACTGGTTTTACTAGTCCATGGTCAGTTTTAGCTAATGGTCGAAACTCTTCAAGTTCGAGAAGCGTCTCGAAATCCTGAGCATGAGTATTAGCAGTAGATGAACTATGCTTTCCACTTCGAATAGCGATGTACGTTGGTCCAGAATATCCAACGGCTTGCGGTTGTCCTAGCATATTGGAAGTGATTTTGATACCAGCATAAACAGGTGGTATTAATTTATGACGCTCAGCGATTACCCAATCGTGATCAGGCAATTTGATTCTATATTCCATGTGCATTAGAAGAGGTGCTTGCTTATTTGCCGCAGTTGCGCCAATAGGGACTCAAGCTTTATCATCTTGAGATATGAAAAATACTTGATCTGGTCCAAGTATGGATGCTATGTTCTCTAAATAATGAATTGATGTTTCAGCGAACTTGCTATCTAAGTGGCTCTTGTGGTGATCAGTTTGCGCCCGAATGAGCTTAACAGGGACTGTCGATACATGCCTTCGTCCCTCTGCAGAATTAGATTTTCTGGGAATCAAACGAAGATATGTCCCACTGCGACTAATGTCAAATCCTATTTTACGTAATTCTTGTGTGAGTTCATCAAGAGTTTTTACGCTGCGAATTGATTCCGTTCGTCTTCTAACATCCGCTGCACTCCCAAATAAAGCCATATCCGCGATTGTTTTCAATAGTGAATGTTGATTGCTTTCAAGATTAGGACGTCCCACTGAATCCCTCAGAGAGAAAGACTGTTTTGCTGTTTTTATTTTCTCCCGCAACTTAATGATCTGTTTATCAACTTCAGCACGGCTTGGCATAGTATCTCTGGCAGAATACAAAGCATTCAGTTTTTTTTCGAGTAGAGCAATCTTATTTTTCATAGCTTCCTGAGAAGGTTCTGCTCTCTGTTTATCTGTATTTTCATCAATTTCGCATTGCTGTTGTAATTCATTACCGGGTTTTATTTTATATTCTTCCTCTTTTTTAATATTTGAAGCTGACTGTATAATTTGTGTTTTTTCTGCAGATTTACAGGTTGCCTAAAAATAAAAACTTTCTATGGCTTCTGCTAAAGATTCTCTTATTAAGCTACATAAATACAAAGTATTGCAATATATATTATATGGTAAATACAAAACCCTATGGCTTTAAATCTAATATGTTTAAACGAGCAATTCGTTCCAGTCTGTATATATGTATAAAACTGACATCCTGTACTTTGTGACCAATTGACGGAATCAATCATAAAAAATAAATCTATAATATAATGAATATTACCTCTATACTTTGAGATAGGCCATAATATTTTCTAATCAGTAAACAGAAACTTTTTGGCGATTTCTAATATTTCTAGTACTCATAGGTACCTAATATGATTTCGTCACTCACCTTAGAAAAAAAAATTAGTAGATTGGATTTATTCTTAGTCGCCGCTCGCAATTCTTCTTCGATTCTCTTAGATACAATAATATCTAGTTCCTTGTCGAATTTTGCTTGTAATTTGTCATTTCGCCACACATCGTTAACTAACTTTTGTACATTTTGTACTTTCGTACTTGTATGAGATTGTTTAAAACTCTCAAACAATTTTTGGTATAGCTTGGATTTGTCTATGTGAACGACATCCTATTTAAACATTAAACTTTGGCTAATGCAGTCAATGGTAACACAAATGTTAACTTGCTTTAATATGCTTACAATACGTCTACTCGCTATAGTATCCAAACAAAACAATACACTGATAGAGGAAATTTAGACAAGTGAACACCGCGCGGTAATTCCCCTACTCGGTTCTAAAGCGAGTAGGAGAATTACCGCGCGCTGTTCACTAAACGTATGCATTATTTGCGGGAATCCCCGAAATAGCGTTTCGTTTTCAAGCAAAAACAATGTAAGGGTTGCCATTCGTGTAAAAAAGTAAATAACTACCGATGACGTAATCATCATCTAGACTCCCCTACCCCCCATGTCATCCAAAATAAGCAAAACAAAGACCCCCCGCCCCCCATAGTGCTCACATAATACTTGAATGGCCCCTTAGCATAAAAGCAGTAAATCAGTTCATCAGTAAGTTTCAAACTATACGGCTTTGACTCCGTATGATACAGGTACTGCCTTTTTAGCCTTTATGACCTATTATGATATTAACTTAGTCAGTTTTTATTTAATAATTCTACTTATGCTCCAGAATAACTTTGAAAAATATTCTTCGCTTTGAATGATTAGGTGCTTTTGTGCTAATTATGTGAATTTTAATATAAATTTAATAACTTATATTAAAATAGAATTCTGCATTACTGCGTTTTCCATTTGAAATAATAATATAACTAGATTATAACAACTACGAAAGAAGGTGAATTTGTTTTTGCATAATATAAATGCAGTATAAATCTCATATTATTTCTTTTTGGTTTATGGCAATTAAAGTCGGAATGTCACTTATTTTCGGCATCGACAATAATTGTGATCCAAAATCATATTCAAATGACTCTCTGTGAAGTCATGTTACTTTGCAATATTCATTCACTTTTGTTGTATCGTTATAATATTTATATGAAATAATATATATTATATTATAATTTATTTAGTTCGAAAAAATCAAGAACTTTAAACCCAATTCTCTCAAACTTACATTTTTACACTTTACTGCATTTTAGTAGTACGGCAGCATTGCATCGATAAAGAATGCATGCCCTCATCGCCGTTTCGCTTTTACTAGTAAATATCGTTATGACAAAGTTCAAATGAAAACTGAGGAGTTCAGCATGCGTAAAATAGACAAGACGGTGTTAATCTTTAGCTCACCACTATTAAGCAGATTGAATAAAATAGTGCTTTTGGTAGGTTACTTTGACCTTCTTCCGTTATCTATATCGGATACTAAACTGTCACATCACACGGTCCATACTACTGGCTGTCCGATAAAAAATATTTCTAGATTATGAAATCGTCCTCAATTAATCCACAGACGGCTCAACAGTCACACAGCTCCCATCATCACCACCAAACCACCGAAATCAACCCAATGGATTTCATAGACAGCTGCGACGTTGTCGTATCGCCCACGCATGTTGTGGACGATGACGTATTCGTCAACCTCGATGCGTTTGACATGTTGGGAGAATTCCCGGAATTAGAAGGGTTGGACACGGCGTCCGGACACGCAGGCCTGCTAGATGTCAATCCGTCCGATAGCAGCAGAAGTAGTGGTGAGTTGTGATATTTTTGAAAATTTAAGAAGATAACTTCCACTGATATCTTCGAAAGCCAATCTTACATAAGGTTAATCTTAAAAGTAAGGTACACAAGGCATTCACTCCAACTAATTGACACATCATTATAAAGCATTAGTCTACTTTTATACGTCATTATTTCTCAAAGTTGGCGATAACGCCCAAAAACGATCGCTGTTCAGCAACTGTTTGGATCATCCCTGCGGGTGCTGGGGAAGTACGGATGGACGGTAAGGAGCCTAGTAGAAATTGGGGGGGACGCGATGAATTGATTTGAGGCGGGGCAACGTAATGACTAATTTGTGTTTTTTTAAATACTAAAAATGAAAATTGAAACTTACATACCTACATTCGGTGGAGGTAGACGAAATAAGTTTGTGAACATATTTCTACATAATCTTCATTCTGGTCGATGCATTCTGGTAGAAGCTGTGGCAGTTTTTGTATGTTCATGTCTACCAGATCGCCGCCAGATCTTTGAGAAAGCACTGGACATATTTGTCCAGTGCGCATTGGTCGTCGTCGGTACTGTATCAGTTTCCCACCAAATATTTTTTCAACATATGGGCAAGGGAACAAGTGGTAGTAGGTAGTGTGTTACACTGAGAAACTCAGATGCGCAATTCGGAACTAATTAAGAGAGATGTTGAGCAAAGGTGTGATCATTCTCCTTCACAAAGCACGCCCCCATGTCGTCCGTAAACGGTCGTTCTTCTGTAACTATTTGGATCATCACCCACTCGACTCATAGCCCGGACTTGCCACCCAGTGACTACATCTTCTCTATGTCGAAAAAGCTTTATTATTTAACCTATTAAAATGTTTTGTAATTGTAATGTCCTTATTTATTTTATATTTATAAGTATTTTTCGGCATTTTTGCTCAAACGCACATATGACCCTCAAATTCATATTGATAAGTCTTATATCATGTAACATGATCTAATAGGACAATAAAGTATCTATCTATAATGTATTCATATCAATTATTGGAAATAAATGCGATTTGAAATTAGAAAATATGACACCAACTTTTTAGGATTATCTTCATATTTATATTTCCCTACAAATAAAAAACACAAATAACTTATTGATGCCACTGTACAACATTGTACAAGGTGGGCCATTTAAAGTGGAGGCACTTGTGTACTGTTACCAACTTATTTCTGTCACTAAGAATCCTTGTTGGTATTGTATATAAATATAATTGACAAACATCAAAAATGTGATTCCTGAAACAATGGATCTAATCGATATAGTCTTGGCTTTCTGAAAACTGTTCTCAAAATGCATTCTTAGATAATTTCCAAACTCCGGATATATGTAAGATCTGCTGCTCCCCAAACTATAATACCATAGCTAAGGTGACTTTGTGCTAGACCATAATAAACAGTGCGGAGCTGTGTAGTATCCAAAAGTCTACGTAGATATCTGTTGTTATGCAGTACTGAACGTAATTTTCTTATTGAACTCTCATTGTGCACATCCCCTCTTAGATGAGGATCTTTATGTATATTCCCAGGTATTTTATAGTTTGTACTGATGCTCCTATACTTGCTTCCCGAACAGTAATTTCATGTCCCGCTAAATCCCCGATGTTCGTAAAACCTTTAAAATCGTGCTTCAAGACACGTTCAAGATTGCCTTTAGTTGACCCGCCTCAAACCTTGCAACTTTGCTCTGTAATATTTTTCTCTAGGAAGCATATTTTTTCGAGAACCTCTGTTCTCTCCATACCTCGTGGATACTAGAAAATGACCTGAACGTCACAGTAAATGTCATGTGCATGAACTTATTTGAACGTAGAATTTCCTGCTCTTTGCTATTAAAGAAATCCCCCTTGACCTTTGAATGACTTTGAAAGCAGTACTCAAGGTGACATTCAAGGTGGCGAGTAGATGACCATTTTCAAATCTTATGACTTTGTTTTATAATATTTCCCTTTAGGAAACATATTTTCGGCATACTTTGATGCGCAAACACTTTTGTACTCAGTATATTCAAGTCCATGTGAGTATCCTCATGTCTATGAAGTTCTGTATCTTTTTAGGTAAAACGGATCCTCAACAGCACCAATCAGCCAACCATTCGCTGGAAGCTTCTGCAAAGATCACAGACTACTCACCGGAATGGGCGTATCCAGAGGGGGGCGTGAAGGTGTTGGTGACTGGGCCTTGGCACTCGTCTGGCCCATACACTGTCCTCTTCGATACATTCCCTGTACCTACCACGCTAGTACAGAGCGGAGTGCTCAGGTGCTACTGTCCAGGTAAGAAAATCCTTTGTCAATGACATTTTTGACTAATTCGACATCAAGAAATCCTAACCTTCAAAATAAACAGTTCAGCCCGTGTGTAATTTATGCAACCTTATAACATTCGCGACAACAACACTGTTGAGTTACTCTGACTAACTCGGAGTAACTTAGTAGTTCTCAGGTTTCTAAAGCAGTTCGGCACGGGTATTATGTAAGAAACCTTTCAAACGCAAAAAAAACATATAAAATGTCATCTTGCAGACTAGGTAGTTTTTAAGGTGCAAACAGTCATTCCACGTTTGCTCACTAGGATCGTTGTGAGCATCCATATATGGCGGAATGGCTCAACTTTACGCATTGTTGGTTGCATATGAGTAGATGTCTTATGGGGATTCGATCTCAGTAGTTCCAAAATCCGCCACCAGAGGCGCTGGCGTCGCGCGCCATTGACAGGTTGTTGGACGGAATCTGTAATCGAAATTCATGAGTTGGGGATTCCGCCGCTAGATGGCGCTGTCAAACCAAACGGAATCTGTGTGTCATTGGACACCTGTCATGCGTCATTGGGCATCTCACGCATAGATGGCGTTACACGTCATCTGTCATACGTCATTGGACACCTGTCATTGATGGGTTGGGCATCTCGCGCATAGATGGCGCCGATTTGTTTGGCGCTGTACAAACCAAACGGAATCTATGTGTCATTGGACAGCTGCCATTGATGGGTTGGGCATCTCGCGCATAGATGGCGCCGATGTCGCACCTGTCTGGTGTTGGCGTGGATTACGGGGGGCAACGTGTATACAGGGGTGCATCGAAAAATAGCGGATCGATGGACCGACGGTATATCGTTAAATCGTATATAGCAAGGCGTGACCTAAATAGCGTGGTGGGCTCCTCTGGTCGGTCGGTCGGTCAGAATGTCTCATAACCTGTATACGATGTACTGTTATTATTATACAGGATGATACCGTTCAAAATGAAAATAGTATAGACATTCTGACAATTATTTCGCAAACCAGAGGTATTTTCAATAAAACTACAATAATACGTTTAATATTTTATTGAAAATAGAAGAAAACTACATAGGTAATATGATATTTGAAAACCAGTGGCGTAGACGTTCAACATTTCTCTGGGTACAGGAAAATTGTCCGTTGGTGTGGCATGGATTGGAATCAGCAACAAAGTTTCCAGTAGCACACGGTGTACCATCATACTTGCAAACATCAATAATGTTGGGAAAAACACCAAAAATGTGACATTTCTTGAGTAAAAAGTTTGCTTTCTGTTCTCCACGAACGTAGACATAGTCAGCCGCATATATCACCTTATTTTTAATTATTTCATTTAACTTGGAATATTTAACGTCGCCGGAAGAATATTTAAGCCCATGGAAATTCTTCTCCAAGTAAGCGACAGTTTTCTTGTCTTTAGTATTTAATGTAGAAAAAGGTTGCGGAGGTGTAAAGATGTAATGACTTTTCTTGAAACCAATTTCGATACATAGTTCTTTAGGTACGAATAATCCGTCAACTGTAAAGCCTTGAATGTCAACAAACGCGATCCTCATGATGTCTGATGCGGAACTGAGAGTCCTTCTTTGCTTACGAGATGGTTTTAATAACTTCGGTGAGGGGGAAGTACTCGATTAAGCAGTCATGTATAATGATGCAGTAGGCCTTGGTGTTGGTTGGAAAGCCAGTATCGGCTTCGATATCCAATCTAACATCAACAGTTGATGATTTCATGGTTTCCTCTTGTTTGGAACAGTCAATAACAAACAAAGCGCGATTTTTAAAAGCGGTATAATCTAAAAGACATCTCTTCAGAGGAGAAGAAGAAGTTGTATAGCTGGTTTGAAAGTCGCTATAGTTGAAATGAGCTTCAGTAAAGTGATTGTTTGCAAAGTCCAATTGCATACGTTCGTTGGGATAGTATTCACCATTTAAAGATACTCGAATACTAGCAGCATTCACGTGATCAAACAGGGTAGGGTCTGAGGTTGCGACGTCACGTTTACCGGTTTGGAAACATACTATAATGAAACGTGGTCTTTCGATTGCGGTGCTAGTTTTAACTGACCATATTTCTCTTCTCGCATCTGCGGTAATTGCAGGCAGTTCATTCAGATCCCATTTTCTAAACGGTATAAGTATCGGCTTATCAGTTTGAATAGCTTTCAAAAGTTGTTCTTTCACATCATCACTCGGGTAAATATGTTTGATTTTCAGTTCCATGCTTTCAATAGTTATTTTCGCTGTCGTCGTCGTTCCAGTTTTTTCCTTGATAATGATACAATCGTTATCGTTTCTAGCTCTCACAAATCTGAGAGTTTGTCTGCCACACGTAATCATAGGATAATCATTGAAAATGTTGAAAATATGTTTAAGCGGCATTAGCAAGCTAAAAGACTTGTTATGTGTTGACGCCATTATAGGTGTTGAAGGATAGTTCCATCCAGCTATAGCCATATGATTTGAGTCTTCCTCACTGTAACATACGTAAGCTCGGACAGTACTTACAATACCAGGATCACGTACTGTTTCAACTTCTCTAGCGGATTCACTGTAAGTGCAAGAGTCAAATAGGAAGGCACCAAAGTTTGGAGCTAAAGATACATCTCCTGCTCCTCCTCCTCCAGTTATTTCAACTTTCCCTTTGATAGATAGAAGGGAAGCGTTCATTGCAAAGAACGAATCTACTTGATTGATGCTAAATTCCACAACATCATTACAATTAAATGACTTGATGAACGGCGTATAAGATCTATACTCAGCCTTGCGAATAGATTCATCGAATGCTGGAGATCGATATAGATCAAACATCGGAGAAGTATGTGATGCTGCTGCTGCTGCCTCCTCAGTTTTTCTCTTTTTGTACATGATTCTTGTTGTTGTTGACATGATATCCAAGTGAGCGTAGAAACAGGATATTTG